CATTCGGGTAGGGTGAACAAAATGTCCGCCTTTATACACGACGGATTGAATATTCTACGTCTTCTGATTGATTAACCTTCTATTGGTGGACTATAAAGTGAGTCAATGCATCTTGACTGGCTCACTAGTTACATATTATACACAAAAAACGGCAACACATACACTGATATGTCCCGGAAAGGGATATATTTGTTCGAAGTAGCAACATGGTCGTTAGCTATTGTAACCGGGTAGGACAATCTAGCAGGTAACCGTAATGGACTGATCCTCGTCGTAGTGGTAGGCAATAGGCGTAGGCAATAGGCGAAGACTATAGGCGTCGTCAATAGGCGTCGTCTTGTACCTTCACACCAGTCTGTATTTATGGCTGACACCAGCTAATTATATTACTGTGAGGGGGGACCCAGGTGTATGCATATTCATTACATCATACACATGTGTAATCACTTCAGTGTAAACACCACTTTAGTCCAATAAAGTCATAAGAGTATGTTATTGCACTAAATTTTTCCTAAAATTGTTCCCGCTATATAAAAATGTATATGTCGTTTTTACTACATAGGTATATAATTAGTATAGTAAATGCTCATTTCACTTATCTGTCCCTACTTTCACAGAGAATATATTCACTCACCAAGTAGCTTGATAGTAATGTTTTTAAAAATTGATAATTAAATTTTACTATCAAGTCTCCTGACGAACGGATAACATTTCCACGGAATACTGTGTAGCTACATTGAATTAAACATTTAATATTGTTTGTTACTTTTAACGCTCTATGTCTTTTGGGCTCTTTAATTACAGAGACTGCTTACCTTAAAAGCGTTATCGTCCAGAAATAACCTGTTTTGTGAAACACAATCTTTATTATTGTTATTAAATACATGTATACATAGGTTTATCATCATTAGCAGATTATAAAAAATATTAAGCATTCTATAAATAATAACAATTTATTTACATTATCGTTGATTTAAATCCAGTGTGCATGAATAAATTAAAGTTATCAATAATATCGAAATTATTCCTATCATTATACGAGGTGTGTAAGAAAAGAAACAGGACTGAAGTCACAAACACTTCATGCTAAATCCAAGCTACAAGTTTTTCCCTTCAAAATTACCCATTTCGAGTTTAATAGACTTCCCCATCCTTCTCTGTCACGCCTCCATGCACTCATGGAGGATTCTACGGGAATTCTTCGGAGTTCCGCCGTTGCGGACCTCTTAATGGTTTCAATTTCTGGAAAAGGGGTCTTCTTGATTACCCCCCCCCGAGCTTGGGGAAAAAAGAGGAAAAAAAATCACATGGAGCCAGGTCGGGTGAGTAGGAAGGTTGCAACAGCACTGTGATGCTCTTCTCGGCAAGAAAGTGCTGGATGCACAGGGTGTTTCATGGTGAAGAATCCAGGAGTTTTCCTGCCACAGCTATCACCTCTTTTTGCGCATAGAATCTTTTTGTGGGCGTACAGGTTGATCGTCTGGTCCTGTGGCAAGAACTTTATGGGGAAAATGCCCCTTACATCGAAGAACACGATCAACATACGTTTAACTATCTTACTTTCAACTCCGGACTCTTCCACTGATAGCTTTGGCGCTTGGTCTCCCGGTCGTAAGTGATGATTCTCCCTAGCAAGTCTGGTTCGGTATCAAGAAGCTCGAGGATGTCCTGGCACGTCTTCATACGCCACTCTTTCTGGTCATCATTCAGTAGCTTCGGTATCATCTTCACGCAGATGAACATCGCCGTGCTGGTGCACCATCCCTACTCACCCAATCCGACTCCGTGTGTTTTTTTCCCTTTTTCCCCAAGCTCAAGGGGGATCCAGACGTATAAACCATTAAGAGGGCCGTGACGACGGATCTGAGGAGTAACCCGGCAGAATCCTTTCAAGAGTGCATAGAGGCGTGGCTGAGAAAGAGAGAAAAGTGCGTTAGACTCAAGGTGGATAATTTCGAAGAGGAAAATTTATAGTTTGGATATTACATATATATTTTTAGCGACTACAACCCTGTTTATTTACTGACCCACCTCATACAAACAGTTGTAATGAAAAAGTTTTATAGAAAAATTATCGACAGTATTGATAATATATGGTGTGCTGAAATATACGAATTTTTAATGAAAACCAAAGCAGCTACTTAAAAAAAATGGACAAACATGGACGTTCGTGCCCGCAAAAAAAAAACGAAGTGTCAAAATGGCGGTGTTTCCCATGACAACGCTTTTATCTATTTATATTTTTTTTGCGGGCACAAAGATCGATGTTTGCCGAAAATTGAATTCAGCTATTTTATTTTTTTTTATAGAACAGGCAAAAATCAGAACAAAAATGAAAGTCTTAGAACTAAAAACGCCTGACAGTGAGTGGTCGGTTAAGTACATTACTAACTTTAATACTGAAGAATTCTAATGCTTCAGGTAGTCAGTGTAAACGTTAGCAATGCTGAATGATGCGAACGCTCCCAGCGCCAAGCGTTGTACAGAATAACGTTAACAAATACAATCATAGGTTTGCCAGCGTACAAATCATTATTTGTACATTGGGAGTCTCCATAACGCATGTGAAATTTCAAAATAGGCATTTATTCTCATTTATTGTTTTTTTTAAATTGAAATATAACGGCATCTATAGCGTCTACAAAACTGTTTTTGCCGCGGCTTAATATTCATCTGTTGTACATCAAATATATATTTAGGCATAATTGTTTTCCAAATTGTCTTATATATTTCGATAAATAAATTTTAATATTAAAGAAATGTAAATTGCAATGCAATCTTTTGTTGTCATTAATAAAATAGAATTGTGGTACTATTTTTCCATCAATTATAAAAATTTCTTTGATTATTATGATTATTATTTAAAAGCCCCTACCAAATATCTTTCTTGCGTCTAATTTTTTTATAAGATGTTAGATATTCTGTTCTGCCATATGTAAAATTCTCTAATTATTTCGGCTAAAAGTTTTAAAAGAACCTCCCTTTAATTTTTTTTGTCTCTAAAAGTTTAATTATTCAATAAATGAAGAAACGTTCAAGTGGCTTATATGGTTGATCGACTCAAGATTTTCACGTCGAAAGCTCAACCTTTATTTACACAGTTCGAAAAGAACGGACGCTAATTCTAACTTTCAAATTTCAAATTCTTAACACGCCAGTTTTGTTAGAAAAGTCACAATATTTACATTTAGAAGCAGTACCCTTTTTTGTAATATCACTCTATATGGTGATTGTCATATTTTACTCGAGTGAGAGCCGCCGCCTCGGCCTTCTCAACATTTGAAATGGCTTCCGTACATGGTCCCTGAAATGACTCCAGTACTCCATTTCGTAGGTATCAGGCATATACGACAGATAAACTCTATATCATCGATTGATTTGATTGGATCTGAATGGCCTACAACTCTCCTGTGTATATCCAGGTGCTTTATCATCTGCAATCCTTGTTGCAGACTACACAGGTTTCGTTAGCAAGACGATGAGGCAGTATAGCATCGTTGAGTTGTTTCTGTTTGTTAAGATGAAATTTCGCATGGTTTACATAACCAATCTGTACACAACATTTCCGAGACTACATATTAGTTGAAAAAACAGAGTGAGTGCCTCTTTGGAGATCATGGTTGATTTGAGCACGCCTGAGATATTACATCTCTCCTTTATAAAGTGGCCTCAGATTGTACAATTCAAAAATGCTGCGCATCCATTGTAAAAGAATTATTCAAATTCTTCTTCAGATTATCTTTAAATCTCTTTCTCGGCTTGTGTAGTGAATACTTTCCTATCTTCAGTTTCTCGATGAAAAGTTGTTTGGGAATCCTTTTACCCCATTCTCACATCGTTTTCTTCCCATCAATGCATACATAATGGCTGGCCATTCGTATCCATCTATTCGAATGGCTAACCAATCCTCTTAAATTCAATTTAAAAAGAAAGATTTTTTTAAAGGTTCGATGTGAAAATGTTACTATACTGGTTTAATACTGACGTCATAAGGCATATTTTCTTTATTCTTTTAACACTTTAAAATGCATTCGTATACATATATATATATATATATATATATCTTATAGTGTAAGAAAAAAGTGCTCAATCTTAAATAACTGAGCTATTTAATATATTAAAAATATACATAATACTTTACATTGATCGCACAACTCGGAGTTTCCTACTGCTTGCAATCGTCATTAAATTAAAGTCTTTAATTTAATTACAAAATTAAATTCGAAGCTTTTGGCTTCCATTTTTGAAACATGGTTAGAACTGTGTAGCGAAAAAAATTTTTTTTTAAATCAATTAATTTATAATATATAATTATATATATATATATATATATATATATATATATATGTTAGCTATATTGAGCGCTTTCTAATAAGTACCGCGCATATAATATATAAATAATTATATATATATTTATATTTATATACACACACTTTTCACGTGTGTGTGTGTGTGTATTAATCTAAGATGGAATACATGAAAAACAATTGCATCTTTATTTTTTTTTTATTTGTTAAAGTTTCTCGCCTCTCACGCGGGCATTATCAAAACATGAATGATAATGTTCGCATGCAAGGAACGAGGATTTTTTTTTTTAAATTGCATCTGGTTTATATTATATGAGTTAAAATAAAATAATTAAAGACTTATCACCCGACTTCAAGTCTCGCAGAAATTACTCTAATCAAGTGTAAGATAAACCATTTAAATGTATTAACATATGTCTTATATATTTGATGTACAGCAGTTATGAAAGAGAAGAATATATTATTTAAAAATATTTTTTAAATCGTTCCTGCAAAGGAACAAAATGAAAAAGAAAAATCATTAGCATGTAGGTATTTGTAATGCGAAGAAAGAAAAGAAAATTAATTTTGATTATTGTCTAGTAGCGAACATGAATTTCGACAAAAGAAGCGTCGCATTGCTACGCAGGGATTAGCAACCAAATGTCGAAATACAAAATGTCGTCACAAACACGGATACCGGCAGTTGCTAACTTAACCCTGCGATTTCAAGGCACCTCGCAGCAGCGTCAGCGTTAGCAACCCTTTGGCCGGTAGGGTGTTTTCTTTCTTTCGCCGAGAATCATGACGACCGATGAAAGAGCCTTCTGTCTCAGCGTTCCGACTCTGGTTGCTAACAACGGCGCCAGAGGGAGCTAGTCCTCTTCGCAACAAATGCAACCTTTGTGCGCTGTTGCATGTGTTGCGGTCGAAAGGCGAAGTACACACAGTAACAGTGAAACAACGAGAAGTCTATAAAGAAAAAAAATTTTTTTTCCAAAGCACAGAGAACGTGGTACCTGAAT